CCGAAAGTTGTTCTTCTTCGATAGAAGACCAGAAGGATGACTTCTTTTATAGAATATCAAAAAGGTGGTCTTCTTCCCATGAAGACCAGAAGAGGGTCTTTTGGTGAAGAAGGTCTTCTTACCCCGAAAACGAGAAGGTAGTGTTCGGCCGTAGACGAAGCTTGTCTGTAGTAGAAGATCAGAATTTGTTCTTTAAAAGAAGATAATAAAATAGTCTTCAATAGAGGACTTTTAATGTGGTCTTCTTCCATTTAGAAGACCAAAAGGTAGTCTTCAATAGAAACTGCTCTTCTTTCATAGAAGACTTGGTCTTCTTCCACAAAATACCGGATGTTTTTTTTTTTTTTCATAGAAGACTAGAAGGTAATCTCCGATAGAGAACCAGAAGCTTCAGTTGAAAATGAGGAGACGACTTCAGTAGTGGTCCAGAAAGTGACCTTCAAAAGAAGACCAGCAGTCAGACTTCAATGGAAGCCCAGAAAGTTGTCTTCAATAGAGATTTTCTTCGATATAATGTTGGAAGATCCAGAAGATCATTATATGGCTTTTTTCTATAGACCCTTGAAAAATAATCAGTAGTCCTCTTCTTTTGAAGACCAGTTGTTGATCTTCTGCTGATATGTCTTTTTCGCAAAAGACCAAAATATATACTTCTTCTACATAGGGTGAGGGACCTACACGTAAAAAAACATTTTTATTCGATTAAAGAACCATGGGTGGTTAGATTTTTTCATAGAAGATAGCTTCTTTCACAGAAGGGTTTCTTTTATAGAAGACCATTTGGTGGTTTTCTACAACTGGGGAAGTCCTAAAAGTGGTCAGTTTCCTTAGGAGCTCTTTGTTCGTAGAAGACCCTTTTATTTACTTCCTACCTAAACTGAATAAACAATTACCCTTCCAGCCCTGTGAACGCTTACAAACGACTGGAGAATTTGCCGACAACACCTGTTCCGGTTACAAGACCAAAGTTCGTGGTCTCTCCGGCCATGGTACCCAAATCGCTGCCAGTGTTGAAAATCCCGATCGCAGTTGTCGCGTGGGCTGTCAAGATGAATTCATACAACATCGTTTCTATTTGGTCAATGGCAACTATGGTCACTTCCCATTGGGGACACGGTGTTCGAACAGCGACGATCGTTATTGTGTTCAAGGCAAATGTTTGGAATTTGGTCCCGATAAAATACCACTGCAAAAGTCTCACATAAGTTTGGCTCTGTTTCGCAGTCGGCGGTCAGCAAACAGGAATCCACAGCATTCAAGGAAAAAGAGAAGTTTCCTCTATTACGAGCCGGTGAATATAACGGAAACACTGACACAAGATTTCATCGATAATATTGTTAACAGTATCATCCAATTGGAAGAGGATCAAGCGAAGGGTGAGTTGCGGAGTTGGAAATTTAAATGGGATAATATGTTATTATTATTTTTTCGGGTTTCTTTTGCAGAAGATGCTCTTCTTGGTCATCACATCGAATTTACAAATCCCATACACTACTCCATGAATGAACAGCAGCGGCGGGAGCATGAACATTGAGTCTATTTTTCGAAATGTTTTGAAATTATTTTAAATCAGAGTATCCGCTTTCTCCATTTTCGCTCCATTTTTTCTGCGATTTCATATATTTTCAAATATTTATTGATATTTTTTAATAGTATTTTTTATCTATATAAAAGTATTTATATGTATGTATGTAGGAATTTTACGAGTAATGTATCTCTCATAAGTCGTGATATTTTTTAGTTTTATAATTATTTTCGTATTCAAATGATAATCAAGATGAACAAAGGAAAGAAATTAAAATTATATATGAATTTTTACGTGTATCTCAAATATGGCGTGTTTCATTCGGTGGAGCTTGGCAACCCTGCCACTGTGTGTGTGTGCAAAATTATTTAGGTGTTGAAAAGTGGTCTTGCCTGAAGGTGTTGTAAAGGAATTCAAGCTATGTTGGTGCTTTTTTTTGGAATATCCCACTTGCGTTAGAACTAAACAACAACAACTACAAAATATCATTACGTTACAATAACATGACTGTCTACATAGTTTATGTTATAATTACCGTTGTGCTAGAAAGCTGCACGCAATACTGTTGGACATGTTTTTCCATTATGACGAGGAAACATAGACCCATATTAGACCAATGTCTCTTTGCCTAAATCATTCACGATGTACTATTAAACATAAATACAAAATAAATAATAAATTTTGAATCATCAAAATAAGAAAATAATAAATAAGTTAGTAAGATAACAATAAATATAGAAAAAAAAAAAATAATAAAAAAAATTAAAAAAATACATAGAAGACGAAAAGATGGTCGTCTGTCATAGAAGATGAAATGGCTGTCCTTTGCCATAGAAGATGAAAAGGTAGTCTTCTGACATAGAAGTCGAAAAGGTGGCCTTCAACCATAGAAGGCCAGAAGAAGGTCTTAAGCCATAGAAGGTCAGAAGGTGATCCTCTTCCCCAAAAGACCAGAGGATGGTCCAGAGAATGGCCTTCTTCTATAGAAGAGCAGAGGGCGGTCTTTTTCTACAGAAGACCAGAGGGTGGTCTTTTTCTACAGAAGATCATAGGGAGGTCTTCTTACAGAAGACCAGAGGGTGGTCATCTTCTTACAGAAGACCAGAGGGTGACCTTCTTCTGCAGAAGACCAGAGGGTGATCTTCTTATACAGAAGACCAGAAGGTGCTCTTTGGCCACAGATGACCGTGGTCTTCTGCCCTAGAAGACCAGAAGGTGTTCTTTTGCCATAGAAGACCAGAAGGTGATCTTCTGCCATAGAAAACCAGAAGGTGATCTTCTGCCACAGAAGACCAGACCGTCGACCACCATAAGGTGGTCTTCTTCTTAGGAAGACCAGAAGGTGGTCTTCTTCTATGGAAGACCAGAAAGTAGTTTTCTTTTGTGGAACGCCAGAAGTTGGTCTTCTTCTGTAGAAGACGAAAAGCTGGTCCTCTGTAATAGAAGACGAAAGGGTGGTCTTCTGCATAAAAGGCCAGAAGGTGGTCTTCTTTCACAAAAAACCAGAAGGTGGTTTCTGCCATAGAAGACCAGAACGTGGAATTCTTCCAGGTGGTATTTTTCCACAGAACACTAGAAAGTAGGATTTTTCTACAAAAGACCAGAAGGTGTTCTTCTAGAGAAGACCAAAGTCACCTAAAAGAACAGAAGGTGGTCTTCTTCTAAAGAAGACCAGGTGGTCTTCTTCTATAGAAGATCAGAAGGTGGTCATCCGCCACAGTGGTTTTCTATCAAAACCAGAAGGTGGTCATCTGCATTAGAAGACCAGAATGTGGTTTTCTATCATAGAAGACCAGATGGTAATATTCTGCATTGACAAAATAGACCAGAAGCTGATCTTTTTCTATAGAAGAAAAGAAGGTGCTCTTCTGCCACAGAAGACCAGACGGTGGTCTTCTTCTATGGAAGACCATAAGGTGGTTCTTCTTCTATAGAAGACCAGAAGGTGATGTTCTTATGTAAAATACCAGAAGGTGGTCCTCCTCTGGTGTCTTCTTCTGTAGAGGACCAGAAGGGGGTCTTTTTCCACAGAAGACTACAAAGCGGTCTTCGGGAGTAAAATACCTGTAGGTGGTCTTCTTCTATAAAAGACCAGTATGTGGTCTTCTTCTATAAAAGACCAGTATATGGTCTTCTTCTATAAAAGACCATAAAGTGGTTTTCTTCTATGGAAGACCATAAGGTGGTCTCCTTCTAAGAAAGACCAGAAGGTGGTCTTCTTCTATGGAAGACCAGAAGGCCGTCTTCTGCTATGGAAGACCACATGGTTGTTTTCTTTTGTGGAAGGCTAGAAGTTGGCTTTCTTCTCTAGAAGACCAGAAGTTTTTTCTTTTGAGAAAGCCCAGAAGTTGGCCTTCTTCTGTAGAAGACTAGAAAGTGGTTTTCTTCTATAGAAGACCAGAAGGTGGTCTTCTTGTGTAAAAGACCAGAATGTGGTCTTCTTCTGCAGAAGACCAGAAGGGGGTCTTCTTCTATAGAAGACGACAATGGGGTTTTCTGCCATAGTGACCGAAAGGCGGTATACTTCCACAGAAGACCATATGGTATTAGTATTAGTCTCCTTCATCAAGCAATAAACCTTCACAGAAGACAAGCAGCAGGTCTTCTTCCAGCTGATTGTCTTCTTCTTTAGAAAATCAGCAAGTGTCGATTTTCCTCAAAAGGCAAGAAAGTGGTCCTCGTCTACAGAAGATCAGAAGGTGATGTATTTTTCTTCTCAACATTATAGACCACAAAGTTGCCAGCTTTGGCGTGCCTCTTCTATAGAAGACCATATTGCAGTCTTCATAGAACAGTAGGTGGTTTTTTGCTCAGAAGGCGAGAAGATGATCCTTGTCTACAGAAAACCAGAAGGTGGTCGTCTTCCAGATAAGGTAATTAAGTGGTTTTCCTGCATTGAAGACACGCAAATAGTAGCATACCAGAATGTTGTTTCTATCACTGAACACCAGGAGATGGTATTTTATCCCTTTAAGGCCAGATCTTTGTAACAGATTATTGTCTCTTTCTTTAAAAAGATAAGGGTTATAATAATCCACTAAAGCAATATGCCCTTCCTTTTGCAACGGAATATTAAATTCCAAACACTGTGTTGGCTGCGTAAACCCCACAGACACATTCATACCCCAACACGAAAACCTATGACCTGCACCCACTAGGTGGCTCATGTTCATGTCGTGGTAGCCGACCCTAACTTTTGCACAATTGGCCACAAGTACTAACAACAAGTGCATTTATTACCCGTACTCTCTGTTTTTCTTTACATAGTCTCTCTCTCTCTCTCTCTCTCAATTACCAAAAGTAAACTTACTCTCTTTGGACAATTCCGTTGATAGAAGACAACAACGTGACACCGCAACAGCCATGTATTCCAACGGTGGGAGAAAAGAAAAATTAGATAAAATAAATGTACCTGAACCGGATATGACACAGTCCACGAAGGATACGCGAACCCTAAAGACGTCCTAAGGAAGACAAAAAAGAAAATAAAATTGAAAAAAAGAAGAACAAAAAATAAAAGAAAATCAATTAAGTGCATATTTTCAAATAAATAATATAATTTTCCCAACAATACTGGCAGAAAAAGTGTGGAAATGTAAAAGCAAGTGAAACAAAGTATTTTGATATGTGCAAAGGAAAAACGTGAAGAATTTGCATCAAGTCTTGTAAGGTGTTTTTATTTTTGTACATGCCATGGCATAAATTTGCATATTTTGAAGAAAATTGTGCTCGACTCGAGGATATTCAATAGGACATTGACCATTGCCCGACCAGGGACTGGGTTAAAGCCACAGGGTCATTGTGCAATATTTGAACCACGATGAAGTGAAAATTGCAATGGCCATGGAAAATCGGTGTGAAGTGTGTGAGTGCGTATGAATGTGTGTTAAAGAAGAGAAGCAATTGAAGTTGTAGCTGAATTGAAACTGGACATATTTTGAAGTACCTACATGTTTTAGGTCAAGAAACTGTTTATGGTGAAATTAGTCTCATTGAATCAATACTATATTTTTTGGATTCTTTTATCAGGAGGTGTTTTTGTTATTTGTTTTTAGGAAAAATATTTGGTTTTAATTTATTTAAAGATATGTTATCATATACAGTCCATCGGGTTTTTGTTTGCCAGTCTGTGCGTGTCAAGTATCCTATAAAATATAAATACAAAAGGCTAACGTCGACAGAAAAAAACATGTGACATTTAAATATGTATTATGATATAAAAAAACAAGTAAGCAAAGGCTACAGTCGAGCAGGGCCGACCGTTGAATACCCTACAACACTATAATAAACGATACAGTTTATATAGGCGAGATAATTGAATAAATTCCACAAGACATTGTGACAAATAATAAAAGAAAACCATCAGGTTTCGTGCGTTAGGATCGGGCGATAATTACGACCTGCTGACAATTTTGCAGTTTTTTAGTCCATTTCAACCCCTAAATATATGGCGATCATCTCCAAAAAGAGTAGGCTTCTATTCTGACCCTCATCTTATCCCTATGCAAAATTTTGTAAGGATCGGACCATAAATGCGATCTGTATATGATATCCTGATATCCTAACTACTTAGTTTTGTTAGCTGTAGAAATATTACCAAATGTTTAATTCAAAATGAAAATATGCCAAAAATATGACAAAATTGAAAAAATTTGAGAAAATTTTACAAAATTAATATTTTCATCTTTAGAGAGATATTTTTGTGCGATTTTTTTAGACGTTTTTTCTTTCCTGCCAAGAGGCCATTCTGAATTAATGAGAACTGTCGAAATCTGTTCAGCCGTTCTCGACATATAAGAGATCTTTCAAGCATATCTTCTTTTATAGACATATATATCGCACATATTTTGCTATATATCCGATTTGTTGGATGTTAACATCAATGTAAAGATCAGAAGTAACCTTGTCATGGCTTTGTGATTTCGCCGGGATTTAAAATATTCGCGGTTTAACGAAAAATTTTCGATTTTTTTCAACACAAAAGATATGGTCTATTTTACCCGCTAAATATTATCCGATGACCACCCAAAACGGTAGGCTTCTTCCCCGCCCTAAACTCTAGCTACATGCGAAATTCCATGTCGATTGGTCTATAATTGCGACCTGTATAGCTACTGCAAAATCCGGCATTTTTTCAGTATTTGGTCCATTTCAACCCCTAAACATTTGGCGATCATCTCCAAAAGAAATAGGCTTTTATTCTGACCCTAACCCCACCTTCGTGCAAAATTTCGTTAGGATCAGGCCATAATTGCGACCTGTAGAGTGATTACAAATTAACATGGACAGACGGACAGACGGACGGACGGACATACATAGCTAGATCGACTCTGCTCGGCGAGCTAGGAAGATCCATATATACTTTTCTATATGGGAAACCAATATTTCGAGGTGTTACATAAATTCTGGCCCAATCAAACTTATAATACCCCCAACACATAGTGTTGTAGGGTATAAAAATAGAACAACAATGGATTTTTGTTGAAAGAGGATGAAAGATGCCACTTTTTTAGAAACAGTGGATAATCTTCTTATTTTTGTGTCGTTTTGAAATCTGTTAAAGCACGTAAATTTGTATCGCAAAAGAAGCAAAACAACTACATTCCAAAAATTTTCGGGCCATTTTCTGGCGATTAGTAGATTCCAAAGAGATTAATAGATCCCACACAGATTTGGGTTGCCACGTCAAAGGGCCCATTACACACAGCCTAAGAACCTCAAATTGTTTGCTTATACTTAACATTTGATTTGATACAGGACTTTAGGTTAGGTTGTAGAATCATTTGTACAAAATATGGGTTATACCGGTTCACTTTTTGGCATTTTTATATTTCTATACCACATAGTGGTAAGGGTATTATGTCTTTGTGTATTTGTTTGTAACATGGAGAGGGAAGCGAGATAGACCCATAACTAATTTTGAGGATCTTCATAGTCAGTCCGTCTGTCTGTCCGTCCGTCTGTCCATGTATTTTTGTGAACAAAATGCAGGTCCCACTTTTTATCCGATGGAAATGAAATTTCGCAAACAATATTTGTTTGGTCCAAGGACAAACCCTATTGAAATTGGTGAGAATCGGTTCAAATTTAAATAAAGCTCTTATACATATCTTCAACCGATTTCGTGTTGATTGTGCATCAAATGGCCAACATCAGTCCAAATTATCAGATTTTTTACATATTCGATCAAATTAAGTCAAGAAGCAAGTATATCAAATATGCAGAAAATCTGTTCATGTGTTTCATCCAATTTGGGACTATATGTCCTTCACATGCGTAATATGCACTCCACAAGAATGATATTTGGCACCAGATATATAGCTTAGAAACAAGTGCCTAAAATGTTGTCAATATCGGTTTAGATTTGGATATAGCTTCCATATAGATCTTCGTCCGATTTCAGGTTTTTCGTGCACCAGATGAATTGTGGTATATACGACCGAATTTACTCTAGAAGTAAGTACATCAAATTTAGAGAAAATCGGTTCAGATATAGCTACCATAGAAATATTTCATCCGATTTGGGGTTTTAAGTCTTTCACATGCGTAATATACACCCCACAACAATGGTATTTGATACAGCTATAAAATACCTCTGCCAAATTTTATTGAGATCGGTTCAGATTTTTATATAGCTACGATATACATCTTCATCGATTTTTTTGTTATTGCTCACCATATATTAATATCAGCCCAAATTGGATAAATTTTTTCATATTTAAGCCAATTTTACCATTTGGTCAAACTCCGTCCGGTATACCTATTGCTCCAATTATTATTTTTCATATTATTCTTATCGAATTCCAATCATGCACTATACAGCAATGTTATCTGGATCATAGGCGGTATGATTTACTTCCCATAAATGTCCAATATACTCTTTTAAATACGCACAGTGGTGTAGGGTATCATATGGTCGGCCCGCCCGACTTTTGATCTTCCCTTAATGGTTCATAATAATTTCGGCAAATGTTGGTAGTTAAAATACTTAATAATAAAAAAAAAACATTCTTGAAAAATCAATAATGACCCACGTTCTGCTATAATCCTCATTTGAAGGTAGCCCCTGATTTTAATTATTTTCGAAGTCTTGGACATTTTTTTAAATTGATTTGGCTCTTATGTGGCATTTTGGTTTCGAAGGGGTGGAAAACCATTTCGCACAATTTTTTTCAATGTGGGTCAATTTTTTGGAGCATGATTTTATCTTGTTCGAGGGGCTTGACTAAATTTTCCAATGGGTTGGGGGTAGATAAACATATTACAGAAAAATTTCTATATAGGTACATATTTTTTTATCAACACTCCAAACAACAATTCTCTTGGAGGTTACAAAATCTGCAAGCTGGTTATCTACCCCCGTAGCCAAACCGCATGGAAAATGTGGGCAAGACCCTGGAAATAGGTACTATCACTCTGAAAAAATCTTTCTTGATAAATTGTCGACTTGTGGATAACATTGTATCCTGGCTCTCCTGTGAAATGATTACTTCTCCGACAGTTTTTGTACATTTTACAGGGATAAGATAATTTTTTGTTAGTTGGGGTCTCCACTCTGAATCAAAATCGATTATTTTACCAATGTTTTTAGTATTGAATTAAACCTGAAATACTTTTTGGGATGTGCTTAAAAAATCTTGGGAAGCAAAATTTTTAAACACCATAAATTTTAAGGAATTTTTTTTTGGATTTTTGGCTATAAAATCATTGATTCTTGTCCAAGAAAAAAAAATACTAATTTTACGTGAGAGGTTCATTTTTGTTATTTGGGGTCCCCACCACTTTTCGTACAAGTGAACTTGAAAAAAAAAATTAAAAATTTTTAGTTTGGATTTACATAACATTTTAAAAAATAAAGGTTTCGGGAATCTATTCTAAAAAATGCACTATACTTAATCAGGCCATATGTTCTGGTCTTTTTCCTACATTTTATATAGAAAATTATTTTTTTTATTTATGCATGCCAATAGACGGGAGAACAGCTTTCATTACATCTGTTGCAAGACTGTGCTTTCCATCTACGTATGAGTACTATGGTATAATGGTGACATATAATAAGTATACGCAGTGGTTTACCACAGTTTAACTTATTGAATTCGTAATGTTTGTAACATATCGACGATTTAGAAATGAGTTTAATTTAAACAAGTAAGCAAAGGCTATAGTCGTGCGGGCCGACCATGTGATACCCTACAACACTACAAATGTTCGAAGTCCCCTTATATACAAATCCATTTTGGAAGATTTCGTTTTTGAAATAATGCTTAAGAGCCCTGCCCAGAGGTTACCCTTAGGTTTTTGACCCGAAGAATTTGGCCAATATTTACGCACTCCGTAGTACTGTGAAGCATTAAAAACAATTGCATACGAAAGTTGTGGTCCATTTTACAGCTAAATATAATCCAATAGTCATCCAAAATGCTAGACTTCTTCTCTGTCCTCAACTCTCTTCCGATGCAAAATTCCGCGTCGATTAGTTTTCAATTGTGGCCTATAGAACGACTACAAAATTAGAAAAATTAAAATTTTTTTAGCCGTTTAAACCTCTAAATGCACATCCTAAGAACAATAGGCTTCAATTCCGACCCACCCCCATGCAAAATTTCGTGAGGATCGCACGATAATTCACATAATGCACATTCATATAATACCCTCAAAACGTAGTGTTGG